ATGTGTATGGCTGTTAGATGAATGTGCCTTGTTGCCCAGCACCAGATGTGAGATGTGTCTGTGTGTAAACCGATGGATCCTGTGCTCCCTTGCTTATTTATATAAAATTTGGCTGTCGTGTTGTCTGTAGCCAGAAGTGCTCACTGACCTTGAAGTAATTCAGTAAAAGAAGCAAAAGCATTCCTTATAGCCCTAAGCTCAAACACATTAATGTATTTAGCTTCGGCTTCAGACCATTGGCTCTTAGCTGTATCAACCCCACAATTTGCCTCCCAACCCATTAAGGAGGCATCTGCAAAGACTTGTATTTCATGTGAATGGGTTCCCAATGTGGTTCCCCTAAGTAGATGTGGAAATCTGGTCCACCAAGTAAGGGTTTGAAGGACTAATCTGGGAATTGAAAGTCTTTTCCATTGTGAGTCTGAGATTGGATGGAATTCTCATAGGAACCAGTTTTGGAGCAGTCTCATGAAGAGCCATGCATGTGGGGTTGCAGCTGTAGTGAATGCCATATACCCTAGTAATCTTTTAATGTTTCTGGCAAACTGAAATCTGTGGACTAAGAATTTCTGGGCCAGTGACATAATATGGTTCCCGATATCTGTAGGAATGCCCTTCCCTTTATTGAATCAATATTAGCACCTGTGAAGTCGATGGATTGAGTAGGAGAAAGCAGGAAAGTGAGCTCAGCTGTTTTGAAAACCTTTGTTTAAAAAATCAGGTGCTCTCTTCTTTATGTGCACACACTGACATATGTAGATGCACACACACATGATTGGAATGGGTTTGCCTCTATCCTGTGTACTCTGGGTCCAATGGCAATGGAGTGTGTGCAGCTGATGTCATCCTGGAATTGCAAATGGTCCTTGGCCTGTGGCCATGAGCCCTGTGGCTTGGGTGCCTCAGTTCCGATTGGTCTCACTAGGCCTCTTCACACAGACTGGCACATATATGGTTACCTAGCAACGGCTCAGGAAAAGATCTCATTGACTTCAGCTCATCAGCATTATCCTGATTAGTAAGCTGTGTGAATGAGGAATGTTTCACAAGGGTTGCAATTTGGATAATTTTTCAGTCATTTAGATCCCTAGAATTGAATGAACTATAAATAGATATTTTTAATAATCTAAGTGGACTGCATTACTGAGATCGAATAATAGTCTTCTGTTAGAGGTGACTTTCCTCCAAGGACCAACAGGCTAGTTATTCTAACAGACAAGTGTATGCTGGGGGGGAGAGTCTAGAGATTACTCAGGAGTCAGCAGCACATATGGGCGACACAGATGCACATTTCACATCAGTCAGGAACAGTGAGCATGCTTTTCCGCCACAGTAACGTTGGGTTTACAAGTTGAGCTTCTTTTTCATGGGAGAAAGTAGACTGGTACATTTTCAGCGACCATTGCAATGGGAAGTTGTTTTTTAAGATCACTATCCTGGCTCTTCGGCTTTAAAACGGAGATGAGCACTGCAACCCTAGAGTTGGACTCTACTGGCTTTCGAGCAAGGGAACCTTTACCTTTACTTTATCCCATCTCTTAGCGTAAAAGGTTTCCAAAATAGCTAACTAAATTTATTTAATTCATTCTGTGTGCAAAAGAAAGGTTTCTGTGAACTGTGAAGTTTACAGAAAGCATATGATGGGAGGGGGAGTGTCTAAAAACCCTAAAATGATATCTGTAAGAAAATTAAAATATATCACACATAGTCCTTATGAGGAAATGTAGTTGGCAAGAAGTAAGGACCCTTTTTCACAAGAAGTCCAGTTGTCTTGGCTGTACCTCACAAGCAACTCCATTTTGAACACTTGTTCTAATATTAAAAGTGTGGGCCCAAGGTAGGCGTAAATTAGTTATTTTTTTAAAAATGTGAGCACGTATGTAAAGCATTTGGGCATTAGCATTTCTAGTCCATGCTTCTTCTTCTGCTTCTGTTCAGTTTATTCTTTTGTCTGCCCTTGTCTTCCTCTGAATAGCAACCCTAGACTTCCTTGGCAGTCTCCCATCCAAGTATTAACCAGGGCTGACCTTGCTTAGCTGCAGCAAAAAGTCAAGGGTTACCATCTTGGCACGTATCCATCAAACATACTTTGTGGGGAAAGAGAACCATGTCAACCAAAAGCCTGGGTGAGCAGAAGCATTTTAACCTGAAGCCTAAATCTCCACAGGTTTTTAATCCCATTTCTTATTATATCTCTTACCCCTTTTTCTTCCACAGGAAGGGGTAATTCATACCTGCGGAGGCACTGCAAGTGTCCTTCTCTAGTGGTAATCCACCTTCAGAAGATGTGGGCATACATAGCAGGACTTCCAAACGAAATTGGAATTACTGGGCAGATTCTCTTGTGAAAAGTACGCAAACGGAGAGTGATTTCAGCAAAGCGTACTCTATTCGATCAGGAACAAGACAGCTTTTGCCGGCTCGCAGGCCGGCTTATATTTCCCGTGAAACCACCACCCATAACACACACCCACTTCCCAATAGGTTATTTACAGGGGCCGAGAGTTCCATAGGCTCTCGGCCGGGACCTAGCCCCCTGATTGGTGCGGGCTAGGATCCGCATAGTCTATTGTCTCTAAGAACGAAGCTCGGCATTTGTGCTTGACCGCGTGGAGCCGGCCCTAGCTGGCCCTAGCCGGCCAAGCGGTCTGATTGGATATATTACATCTTGGAAACATGCGGTCCTTTTAATTAATCTAGTCTCAGGTTAAGCTTGTCCCTGAACTCAGGGAAAGCTCTGTCCCTTCTCATTTGTATTCTAGACTGAAGCTCTTTTATTTTGTACCTTAGTATGCAAAAGGAGCCATTGGAGACTTGTGCCAGCCCCCATCTTCATGACCCCGCCATGCATAATCTGTCTTGGTGTGATGTTAAGACTGCCGGTGGAATCTTAGAGCTTTAAAAGTGGGGGATGAGGTCCTGTATTTACACTCCACTATAAAGAGGGCCATCTACTAGCTCAGAGAGTCTTGCTGCAGTCGAAGAGGGGTGTTCCAGTGACACAAGGCCCCTTGCATTAGAGGAAGGATCCATTGTTGGCAGAACAGAAATTTAAGAGCTAACCTGTCTGGGGGAGCTGACTTTTTAAAATGTATAGGAATTTATGAGTTTATGTAATGTTTATTTTCACATGAACATAGTGTATACACAAAGAGACAGAACAGAGCAATAGGAAAGAAAACTGAGGGGTGCTTTGTATGGCTGTATTGAACTCTTTCTCAGTGTTCCATATCAGAATATCAACTTTCAGATCAAAAGTTTTCAGTATGAGATCTGTATTATTTTCCAAGTGCTGAATTTCAGCTTTCCAGTTCCTCACTGATGTTTTTGTTCCTGGTTCTGCACTTTGTTGTTGGGTTATTAAATATATATTCCACCTTTCTTCTCCATAAAATCAGTCGGATTCCAGCAATTACAAACTGGGTCCCAGAGTATGGATCAAAATATCTGGGTAAGGAGGCCATGTACAGATAGGAGACATATTTCTGAAAATCTGAAAAGTGTTTAAAAAGTTGTGGGGCTAAAAAAACACCCTGAAGCCATAAAAGTGCATGCTTAGATGATGCTGAGGAAAAACCGTTCTGGGCAGCATTTTGGGTTGTCAGGACAACCCAAACTGGTGCCCAATAGTAAGAGGAAGCGAGGTGGGGAGAAATCTGATGGGGGGGGAGTGTGGAGCATGCAGCAACAAGGAAGAAGTGTTGGGTATGTGGTGCAAGGGATGTGGAGAAAAGAAATGGTATGATGGGTAATGGGGGAAGTAGCATGAGCATAGTGGCCAAAGCTGACAAAGTGAAGGGGGGCGGTATGGGGAGGCAGTGGGACTTTCATTCCCCCATGAGCCCACATGGGTCTACCCTTTACAGCAGTCCTTGAGATTAAAAAGAGCATCTGCTGGGATTGTTCTGGCAGCACTTGCTTTCTAGGCCTCAAGGATGGCAGTGAAGTTGGGAACAGTCTCACCTCTGCAGCCCCCTTCAAGTAAGCTGAAAACAGTCTGCAACATTTTATTGTATGTCCCCACTCAGTTAAGTCTATGCCTGCAGTAGTAAAGGAGGTGATGGGTGTACCCACTGCCTCCTGGACCCACACTACCAGCTGCCTGCAGTACTGCGGTGGTGGGTTCCAAAAGGCAGAATAAATTTAGAAATGAGTCCCACTTCACAAAGTTTGAGAACTGCTCATAGTCAGTTCTCCCTATTTTATCTGTGAACCTCATCACACAGGTCCAGCCTACACCTGTTGGATTTTATGCACGTATGTTTATTTGGACATTACACTGAAAAGAAGATGTCCAATAGGTGAGATGCACAGGTACCATCATACCTCCCTTTAAGGAGTAGGGAAAATAAGATGGGAAAATATAGTCTGATCTCGGTGGCTTTTATGGTGCGACAATCAGATTGTATTCTCTTTGGTAGTTTCCATTCAGTATTAATCACACGTGCCTTCAGAATAGTTTGAAGGCTAAGGAGTCTGGGACTTTTCATTCTAGAAAAAAAGGATGAAGTTGGGGAGGGGACATTATAGAGGCTTTTTAAAATTATGTGCCAGGTACAGAAAGTAGAGAGATAACTTTTTCTCTCCTCCCATAAAACACTAGCACTTGGGGGCATCCAGTGATGTCAGACAGACAAAAGAAAATACTTCTTTAATCAAGGTGCAATTAAATTGTGGGATTCACTGCTAGTGGACATGATGATGTTTCCCAAGCATAGATTACTTTAAACAGAACTCTGTCAATGGCTGATACATGAAAGGGAACTACCATGTCAAAAGCAAGTAAATCTCTGTATACCAGTGCTGGTAGGCAACATTAACTGGGGGGGAGGGAGAGACTTTGGCATCTGTGTCCCTTTTGTTGGCCTTCCAGAGAATCTGGTTGGCCGCTGTATGAAACAGGATGCTGGACTAGATGGACCACTGATCCATTCCAGCAGTGTGCTTCTTCTGTTCTTATGATCAGGATTTGTACATTGTGACTTTTCTTTCATTTCCAGATCATCAACTCGATAGTATTGCTGATTGTACTGAGTGCCCTGACAGACCCTGGCCAGTACCACTTGACGACTGCTGAATTGGGGGGTGACTTTGAATTTATGGATGATGCCAGTAAGTCCATATCATTTAATTACAAACATTCATTAGTAATTTATAACCTGATCCCTATTGAATTGAACTGGTATTGTGCCAGTACAGCACTTTAAAGGGCAGACCTAGAATTCATTATTATTATTTTTTTTAAAAAACCTCCCGGAAGAATCTTTCAATGAAGAAGTGTGTGTGTTAAAGGCGAGGCTTACAGAGAGGACTGCAGCTGGCTGTCTTACCATAATTCCCAGAGATTAACCTTGACAAGGTCTATTGGCATAGGTTTTATATAGCAGTGGTTTGTATTAGAAATCTGCCTTCAAAGAACAAGCCTGTTCTGTAGCACTGCAGCTCTTCTGTCAAATGCTTCTGGAATTCCATCTTTCTTTGGAAGGAGCAAAGAAGTCCTACGGAATGTTGTCCCATCAGTCCTTTTGCTAGTCAACTAATTAACCAACAACTAGAGATGTAAAATTTCTGGAAATTTTCAAGCCATGGAGGGGATTCTTCCTTCTTCCCCTCCTCATGGAAATTTGGGTGGAAATTGAAATAAGACCAATATGTACTTTCCTATCACGGCAAAATGTCTCCTACTAATTGGACAATATAAAATGCATGATTTTAACTTAATTATAATATTAAAATGTACTATTTACATATTTATAGAATTCAAAAGTGTAAGTATCTTCATTTTTTATAAGAAAAATTGCAGATGTACCCAGTACTTGAGAAATACTTACAAACTGGTACACCCTATGATATCATTACACTGTATCTTTAATTATTGTGATATTAGAAGTGGGGGGAAAGAGAAGCTGAACAGTAGAAAACCAATTCTGTAGCTAACAAAAAGAAAGCATATAATTGGGACAGAAATGCTCTCATACAAATGCAGTAGTTAGGACTACCAGCATACTTGAATATTAAGCTGTCGTAACATATTAAGATATATTTTGTTGAAATTATTTACATTTTTTTAAATTCTTGAAATTTTCATTATGTCATGCTGTATATTATCTTAAATAAAAAAATTTCACACTACATGTTTTTAGTAAACCTTGTATTTCATTGTTCTCATTCCAAAAGGAAAAGAGAATCATAGGAGCTTTTTAGCGTTCCCCAAATTTTCCATTTTTTCCATTGAGAAAGTCCTCAGACTTTTCCATGCTATTTGGAAGGAGTAAAATGCTTTTTAGGACAGGTTTTTCTCAAAAATGAAAATATTTCCTAGGAGGTTTTGTTTTCAGTACTCCCTAATATTTCCCAGATTTTCCCTTAGAAAGATTAAAAGTGTTTGAGGACTTTTTCTTGCTAATCATTTTGAGAGTGGAAAACCTTGCTTTGAGAAGCATTTCACTCAGGGGTCATTGGGGGGGGACGCGGGGGGACGCCATCCCCCCGGGTGAGGTGCGGGAGGATGGGGTCTGGAGCTCCCTGCTGGTGCCCGCTGGAGGTCACCACCGGCTGTGGGGAGGACACTCTTCCGGTGATGTCAGGGGGTGTGGCATATGCTAATGCGTTATGCTAATGAGTCCCCCTAGCTCTTTTTCTACGAAATGACCCCTGATTTCACTCATTCTAAAAGAGTAAGGGTAACGACTACTCTTTTTCCATGTGGTTAGGTATGGTGTGCCTTTAACGTTCTTGTTATATATTTCTTTATTTCTGGGTATGTAACGTTGCCACCAGGAATTTAATTCCAAATCTTATTATTCAACTTCTCCCTTAGTATTGTGCCCAAGCTCTAAGGCTCCTTCGTGGAACTATGTGGTCCTGAAGATGAGACTGTTGTATTGTAATAGCATATAACTATAGGTTTTCATAAAACAAATTAAAACTTTATTTGTACAAGAAGCTATGGGTTTCAGGATGTTGTAACAACTTTTCTTTAGTAAATTAAACAGTATATGTAAATAACTTCTGACTGAGGAGTCACACTCGTTCTCCTCACAGTCACTCCTCTCTCTCAAACGCCTCTTTTCTCTTCATAATGTACATTGTTCGATCTTGATTGTGTTTTGCTCAGTTAAATGCTTTCCCTTTTTAGCTCAGGTTTCTGGCAGCTTCTTTCTCTCACACTCTTATAATTGACAATATTAGGAATTGAATCTCTCTAGTCCCTAATATGCCCTCTATAAGTATTCTACTTTCCTCTTTAGAATCTAAATGCTTTTCAGAGCACTACATGGGATTCTAATCAGAAGACTATTTTTTCCAGACTCTGTAGACTGCTGACTGACCACAGCTGACTGTTAACTAGGGATGGGCACTGACCAGTCCATGGACCTTATTTTGTGACAGACTGGGGCCCAGTTCATGGTCCATTTGCCCAGTCCGTGCATTTGTGGTTTTGACTGACTGTCCATGGACTGCCATTTTTAAGGCAATTTTTAAAAAATACTTCCTGAGCTGACTGGCAGTGTGCCACCACAGCAGTGCGACACAGAAGTCGGCACAAAAGGAAGTGAGCTCACTTCCAGATTGTACCCATCACGGACCTCAACGACCACAAACTGGTTTGTAAACCAGGAAAGTTCGTGGAAGTTCATGGTTCGTGAAATTCATGAACCTCCATGGACCTCCGTTTTTCCAGTCCGTTCCCATCCCTACTGATAACTGCTGACAGACCAATAACTTCTGTCTTCTCTCTCTCTCCGCACACACATCTTAGCTCCGCCCATACACTCTCAGCCACCAACCAATCACATCACTTATTCATCCCCCTCTTTCACCCCCCTTCTCTTCTGAAACTTACCAAACATCCTCCAACTTAAGTAGCTCTTCTGTTGGAGGAAGAACCACCATGGAAAACTCCTTAAGCTGGAGAAAGGCTTCAAACTTCGCTCAGTGGTGTGGTAGGATACACGCCACTAAAACATTGTCCAAGGCTACTAAATGTTTTTATGCACTGGCTTGTTTCTGTAGGTTGTATCCTCAGGAAGGTCCCAAAGGAGAATTTATGAGTTCAAGTTCACAATGTTGGCATATTTCATAATGACACAATTAGTCCCTGTCATAATGCTCGGAGGTTTTACAGACTGACAGCTGCTTCCCAGAGAAGCTGTTTGCCAACTTAGAATGTAAATGGGATTCTGCCTGTGCAACCACCAAAGTAGCCATCAGTGAATGAGGAATCTGGTGTTGAACAGCTAAGTAAATCACATGCACACAAAGTGTCTCTCTGTCAGTCTTTTGGTCCACATTGATGCCACGGGATTCCCCCTCACAGGGGACCTCTGTTTTTGATCCCTGTACACTTGCACATCTTAGCATGAACCTAGCAATGAAAAATGGAGTCTGAGGGCGTACAAGGAATGTGAAGCAACTCATGCGAAAGCCATTTCCCCAAGGAGTTCCCCTCCCTGATAATCTGGTCTTAATAACAACCCAGATAATCAAGACAATGAGCAATGGGCCAGCCCCAGTCATTTCCTCCTTATCTTAAGTGCTGAACAGGAAGATTTCTACATCCACTCCATCATGTAAAGTACTCAGCCATCTAAACTCTCAAATCTCCCTAAAGGAACACTTCTCCTTGATACACTTACCTGTAATGCACACACACCAAAAAAAAACCCCTTTTCTAATTAGCTCATCTCCAGAGAGATGAACTTTTTATCACTCCCACATTCAAGTGCCGACACCTTTTCCCCTCCTCAATCTTAGTAAAAATGTATAATAAGCCATCCTTCACGGCATCCAATTCGTAGCAGGTTTTGAATTTTTGGTCCCCACTCTGTTACCCCAACTGCACGTTTGGGTAGTGGTTAAGCTCATGGACACTAAACTGAGAGAACCAGGTTTGATTCCCCACTTCTCCACTTGCAGGTGCTGGATGATCTTGGGCAAGTCATAGATCTGTCAGAGCTGTTCTCTCAAGGACAGTTCTGGAAAGAGCTCTTTCAGCCCGTATACACAGGTTATGATCTCGGTAATTAATACCCCACAATAAGCAGGGGGCGGGGCTTCGTCATGTGCCCCGCCCCCCGTACCTCACCCGGGGGAACTGCGATCCCACGCGATCCCCCCGAAATGACCTCTGCAGAGAGTAGCCATGTTAGTCTGCAGTAGAACAGCCAGATTTGAGTCCAAGAGCACTTTAGAGACCAACAAGATTTTTGAGGTCTGGGCTTTTGAGAGTCAGAGCTCTCTACTGAATGGAGCTCTGACTCTCAAAACTCATACACTGAAAATCTTATTGGTTGTTAAGGTGCTACTGGACTTGAATCTAGATGCCGATCTTATGCAAAGTGGTCCCGAGACAAGGGTGGCACTTTAACTGTGCTTAGTGTTTAGGACCTTGTTACCCAAATGACTCGTACAAGTGCACCACTGTAGCTAGCAAAAGTGTCCTTCTGATAGCAAAGAGAAACACATTTATTGTGGGGTATTAATTACCGAGATCATAACCTGTGTATACGGGAGTCAAGATACAAACCAACACTGGAAAAAAATGAAGGGGAATAAGCTTCTTAAATAAGAAAAATTTATTAAATTAACAGAAAGGGAACCAAGTTAAGCCAGGTAAATAGAAATCGAGGCGCTACAGAAAGGAAATAAATGCATTTGTTACTTGCCCTGAGGCCTGCTATAGCAACGGAGGGCGAGTCAGAAATCTAATTAAGAAATAAAATAATAAATTGTGTCCCCACTGGAGTTTCTGCTTGTGAAAGATCTTGTGCAACCAATTTTGGGGCACTATAATGTGTAGGAGGATGGGAGATGGCATGGTTATAGCCTGATCTCATTAGATTTCAGAAGCTAAGCAGGGTCAGTGTTTGGAAAGGAGATCACCAAGGAAGACACAGCGGATGAAGGCAGTGGCAAACCACCTGTGTTTCTTGCTTGCCTTGAAAGCCCTTTGTTGAGGTTGCCATAAGTTGACTCAACCTGATGGCTCTTTACACACACATAATATACAGGGAAGGAAGCTCTAGGTATTGCAAAAGATCTTATCCAAACAGAACTGCACTAACTCCATTTATGTTTTCCCTTGAGCATCGCTGGATCCAAGCTCTTAAAAACATGCAACACTTATTCCATTGCTACCCCCAAATCAACCAAAGGTAAAGGGCAGAATTCCAGTTCATGTTTTCTAACCTGATTAATTTTGACCAGTAGAGCTTACAGAAGCTGAAACCAATTGGAACTTTCTTGAACTCAGCTGAGTTTAGAGATGCAAAAAATGGAAAGAAGAAATACTATGTATGTGTAAGTAAAAATTAGGATTGCATATGATCAAAATAGATATGTTTTCAGGTGTTTCAGTTGTGATGAGACTTCAGAAACTGCCTTGTGTTTTAAAAAGTAGTTAATGTAAGTCCTGCTGGATCAGACCAGAGGGCCATCCCATTCAGCTTTCTTGATTTCTTATGTGTCTTGTTCTGTTTCTGTCTTCTGGCAAATAGTGCTTTAACACCAGGGCCGGATTTAGACTTGCTGAGGCCCTAAGCTATACAAAACCCATAGGCCCCCTACTGTTTTAAATTACAGCAGCTGGTCTCAGAAAAATTTAAAATATATACGCCTTTTTAATATTTGAAATTATTTTTTATATTGTGTTTTTATTCGAGGCCCCAGCAGATTGCGAGGCCCTAAACTGTAGCTTATTTAGCTTATGCGTAAATCCGGCACTGTTTAACACTTTAGAGTCTTGACACATAAGTTTGCCACCCAAAGTCGTCGGTACATGCAGGAAAGGGACACTAGAAGGTCAGGTTTAGTTTCTCATTCCTATTTGAATGAAAAGTCAGTTAATTCGTTTAGTAAATATATCTAACTGAACCATGGCAGAAACCCCCCTAATCGGGTTTCCAAATACTACCATGGAAGCAGTTTTTAGATGGTTATCTCTGCTGTATTTTCTTATGATTTGTAAAAAGAATTATTATTTCTGGCCCAAAACAACAGATGATAGAAATTTATTTATTTATTTATTTATTTAACTTTTTCCCCGCAGAAGCAGGCTCAGGGCGGCTCACATAAAACCAATAAAACAATATACATTTCAATATAAAATCCATAATAAACAATTTAAAACAGTTGATATAACGATGGCAGTGCGATATACTAAAGTGCATTTAAGAACACATTCAGCGGTGCTACCACTCTAGGTAACTTCTAGCTCTAGGTCGACACAGGGCATGGCTGATAAGATGTAGCTCTTATCAGAATGCCTGCCGGAAAAGCTCCATTTTCACAGCTCTGTGGAACTGTGACAGGTCCCACAGGGCCCTAATCTCGCCGGGAAGTTCATTCCAATAGGTCGGAGCCGCCAAAGAGAACGCCCTCGTCCTTGTTGATGTCAGTCTGGCATCCTTTGGCCCAGGGAGGGCCAAGTGGTTTTGCAAACCTGATCGCAGTGCTCTCTGGGAAATGTGTGGGAAAGGCTGGATAAAGAGTTGACAGTCTCTTTCAAAAAAGGTAGAAATAAACATTTATGACACTTATAATTTAAACTAATTTTCATTAATTTTGTTGCTGGAGATACGTGATCTGTGAAACAGGACAAGCAGTGTAGTGTCGAAGAAGAAGAAGAGAAGAGATTGGATTTATATCCCGCCCTTCACAATCCAAAGGTGTCTCAGAGCAGTTTACAAACTCCTTTCCCTTCCCCTCCCCACAACAGACACCCTGTGAGGTAGGTGGGGCTGAGAGAGCTCTTGACAGAAACTGCTCTTTTTCAAGAACAGCTCTTATCAGAACTATGGCTTGCCCAAGGTCATCCAGCCAGGTGCAAGTGAAGGAGTGGGGAATCAAACCCGGTTCTCCCAGATTAGAGTCCACGCACTTAACCACTACACCAAACTAGGTTCCGACTACGATCTGGAGACGCAGGCTCAAATCCCCACTGTGCCATGGAAGCCGGCTGGGTGACCCTGAGTCAGTCACATACTCTCAGCTTAATCTTCCTCGCAGGGTTGTTGTGATGATAGAATGGAGGAGAGGAGAACAGTATCGGCCACTTTGTGTCCCCTTGGGGGGAGAAAGGTGGGGTATAATAGATGAAGTAAACAAAATGAAATTTAAAAAATAAAATTAATGTTTTAAAAGTGCTGAAGGCAATACAGTAGTCACGTGGCTGTGTTAAATGCACTCATATCTTTTGCCCTTCTCTTGTCTCAGGGCAGAATGAGCTCTGCAAGTTTCTCAAGAAACACAAAAACTTGCAAGTCCTATTTAGCCTGAAACGGTAATGAAAGAGGCAACAGGGGTCCTCTGTTTTGCCACTTTGGACACCCTGGGCAAAATGTAGCCTGTCTGCAGCTGGAATTATTTTCTTAAACAGTGGGAAGGTGAGAGTTTCTCAGTCAGTCTTGACTATTCTTCTTGAGTTAATCAGAGCAGCTATCAATAATGTATCCCTTGAGTGATTCACGATTTCCATGTATCAGATTCTTTTGTGCCTTTCCTTCATTCCCTGAATGCTGATGCCTTGGAAAGGTTAATGGATAAATAATGCCGTTTTTAAAATTAAAGTGTCTACTGTAAGTATGAAAATGAAAAATTAGGTGAATAATTACAGTCTGATGGGTTAGACTGTAGGTTGTTGCCCATCTGTGTATGCTGGTGAAACAGCACTTTTTGCTTTCTGTATTTGGTACTTCCATCTCTCTCCCCCCCCCCCCCCCCCTTTAGAATAGAACCCCCTCCCATTTTAAAACAATTTGTGCTTTGATTTCTGAGACACTCTCCGAGTTGCTTCAAAGATTTTAATATGTAGCCTACACAATCCTGAGTGTTCAGAGCAGACCATTAATAATTTACATAAAAGAGAAAGAACTATAATAACAACAAAGCAAGAACTGCAGTATTCGTTAACATATCCGTATGGCTACAGGCGTATAAGATTGAAACATCAATCATAAGTAAATGGTTGTACATTTAGTGATTATGAGGTATCGTTTATGCTGAATTAGTTCTCTACCTTACCTGGTTTGGAGTGCAAGGAATTGTCTTAGAAGGGAGTAACTCTGCCTAGGATTGCACTGCTAAGAGTGCTGATTACAGCGTGGGTAATGTCACTCAGGCCAGAATGTTTATAGTGCTGAGATCAGTGGCTTCTGGGTGTCCTGCAGTAACTTGACTTCAACAAAGTTGGATGTTCCCTTGTGTCTCATCTTCCAGTAGAGGTCGCCCATGCATTAGACATGTACAGATATCGTTCTCAACTCAGAGAGAATCAGCGAAGATTGTTGTAGCTAGTTTAAGGTAAAAAGCCATCAGTATCAGGCAAAAGGTCATCTGTTTTCTCCCAGGTGAATTCTTGCAGCCAGGATTTAGAAGAGTCGTTCTTTAGTGGGAAAGATTCCCTTTCTTGTGATATTGCCATGTTTTGTTTAAAATATTACTTCCCTCTGTTAGTGCAAGAGGTGTGCATCATATTGCGTTTAGTAGTTGATAGCAGCCCTGGCATTTCAAGGCTATTCCAAAAAGACTGACATTGTAATGATATGGTTAAAAAAGAAATTATCAATACTGAAAAATCAGGTCTTCACACCTTGTTTTGTTTTTTTCCTTCTCAGATATGTGCATTGCCACTGCAATCTCTCTTCTCATGATTCTGATCTGTGCAATGGCCACGTACGGTGCATACAAGGTAACATGAGATTTAAAACATCTTTATTTTTTTGTCTTAATAATTTACTTAGGATAAAAAGCTTTCATAGTCCAGCCACGGTCTGCATGGGAAAATAATTTTTATTTTAGTTTCATTTCAATTTCAGTCAGCTTCATATTCAGAATTGTTGATGTGGCTGCAAAAAGCTTATACATGGTCACACACATGTGTGTAAACTTATTTATGTGTACATATGAATGCATGCATACACATACACACAGCGCTATAGCATTTAAAGTGTTGTAACAGGTATCCTGACCTGGATAGCCCAGGCTAGCCCAATTTCACCAGATCTCAAAAGCTAAGCAGGGTCACCTCTGGTTAGTATTTGGATGGAAACCACCAAGGAAATTCAGGGTCACTACACAGGGTCACAACACAGAGGCAGGGTTAGGGTTAACCACCTTGGAAGGTCTCTTGCCTTGAAAACCCTTGGGGGGTCGCCATTAGTCAGCTGCAAATTGACAGCAAAAAATAAATAACTAAAAACGTGCAGGTGGCTACCATCAGGGGAAAACAATATCTCCCATATTCCCCCATTGTGGGGAATGGAAACTTGGGCATTCTAAAGGAAAGCCATTCTAAATATTTCAGCAGGGAAGGGGTGTATAAAGAACTCAGCCAGAGGGAAACCAATTTTGAGTGGTTCCCAGGGGTCGTTTCGTAGAAAAAGAGCTAGGGGAACTCATTAGCATAACTCATTAGCATATGCCACACCCCCTGACATCAGGGGCCCGGCGGTGGACCTGCAAGGCCAGCGGGAGTGCGAGGAACCCCCTCCAAGGCCCTCCCTGGCCCCAGGCAGGCAGGGGTGGGGAGAGGCGGGGAGGAAGCAACTTACCCTCCCTCTTCTCCTGCCTCCTCCTGGCTGAATGAGGGCCGGAAGCGGGGCGGCCGGAAGCAGGCGGCGGGGCTTCATCATGTGCCCCGCACCTCACCTGGGGGAACTGCAATCCCCCTCAAATTGACCTCTGGTGGTTCCTCATGGGACATTCTGACATGTCTTGTCATTGCAGATGATAACTTAGCACACTCCACAGACATCTTTTCTGAGAATCAGTGCATGTTAGTACATAGCCACGTTCTCAGAAACATTTCAGGGACACTTTATTTGAAGGATGCACTTAAATGTGCTGTGTACTCAGTCCTCACAAAATGGAAGCTTCCAAGTATACAGGCATTTCTGTTTCTAAATGTTTGCCTCAGTTCCTCCCCATGATATTAACATAATATTGCTGGTGCAGTGTTGTTGTTGTTGCCACCACCCTCGGAGCAGTGCCTAGAAGTCTCAAGAAACACCAGGGCATTCTGGGCATAGAGCAGATAACACCAGCTCGGCTCCAGAAGACAGTGTTGCTTGGAACAGCAAGAATCCTGTGAAGATACATCTTCAGTTCCCAAGAACTTGTTGGATCTCAAATGGCAGAACACCATTTACCAGTCAAATATCTGACTGTGACAATCCATAATAATAATCAAGTACCTGTACTTCTAGACATGGGAAAACTTTTCGTCCTTTCCAGTTTCTGCGTTTCTCTTTCACAAACTTCAGTTGAGGCAAAGCAATTCCACATTGGTGGAGAACTTAATATATAACATGGGCTGGGCAAAGGAGCAGCATTTCGGGAGGGGGGGGATTCATAGCTGCATAGGAAAAGGGGAGGCAAGGAAGTCTTACTTCAGAAATCCCTCCCATTCATGGAACTTAACAGTGGATCCAAGCCTATGGTTTATACCTGGCATGTTAACTATGGTTTGTGCTAACTGTGACAGCTGAACACACAAATCTCAAGGATGAGCGTTAGAAGTTTCAGCTTCTCCCAAGGGGCAGCTTGAAAAGCAGCAAGTGGGCAAAAGAGAAAGTGATAATGCAGGACGGTTAAATAATCTATTTTGTTTTGAAGCATTTGTCTGGAGAATTCAGTTTAGCAGCTAAAGGAAGAGTGGGAGGGAGAATGATGATCTTTAGCAGAGTATGGAGGAGGAGGTTTGGCTCTCTCTCCTGTTTATTGCAGCTGATTAATAACAAGTGGGCTGCATGTGCACTGAGACTTTGCCAGCAGCCAGGCAACACAAGTGGGAAAGCAGGCAGTCAACAGACCGATTAGGATTACTGTGATCTGTTTCACATCTGGTAGCTAACCAGGGTTTGGGCAACAAACCGCAGTTTAAGCAAGCCACTGTTTATCAGTACAGCTTATGTTTGTCTTCTCTTGCATCCTTGGATATAGAGAAGAGCTAAATACTCATTGCAGATTTTATAGCTACTGTTGACTAGTGATTTCTTCTCTCTTATTTTTCAACAGCAACATGCAGCCTGGATCATCCCATTCTTCTGCTACCAGATCTTTGATTTTGCACTCAACACGTTAGTGGCTATCAGTGTGCTTGTTTATCCGCACACAGTCCAGGATTACCTGCGACAACTGGTAAATCGCTTCTCTTTCACTGTGGTCCTCGAGAAAGCAAGGGAAAGCAGCTTTTTTGCCCTAACAAGGGTTTCGTGGCAGAATCTCAGGCTACCCTTGGAAGAGTGCGTGTGTGCTTAAGGAACTTGTATCCCACCAACTATTTTAAAACAATTACTTAATGAAACTTACAATATGAGCCAATAGAAACAGTAGTTACAGGGTTTTTTAAAAAAAACACATGGAAAATACAACCCATTAATCAGTCAAGATATCAACACCGTCCATTAAAAAAGATGTTTCCAAGAAAGAAAAAATTGTGCTGGAGTTCTGGCAGCATATTGGGTTGCTGTAGCAAGTCATAATGGCTCATGAAAATGCGTCAGTAGTCAAGAAGGCAACTCTGGTTTTCTTCTCCCCTTCTGCCTGCCTGCTGCTTCTGTCACCTTGCCCTGCTGGCCTGGGCAGAGAGTCCAGTAGGAGGGGGAAAGAAGCCAAGATAGGTAGGTGGAAGGTGGCAAGCAGGAGGCGGAGGCAGAAGGGAAGTGATGGCAAGGAAGGGGGCAGGGGGAGAATTAAATGTTCCTTCCCCCTTAAAATTGCGGTTCACCTGGACTTCCCTGGCCCTTTGAAAAGTCTGTCCTGTGAGTTTCTTTTTCATCTTGAAATGCTTATTCCAGCATTAATGAAGCGTGAAACCCTTCATGCCAGCTGCGAAGTGCTCAGATGGGTGTGCCCAGAGTTCATTCTTTCTCTGTGATGATAAAAGCCAGATTTCTTTTTATCCCTACCCTCGCTTGATGTTTTCATGGCTACCCACCTACGGTATGTAAGTTGAGTTGAATGCATGTAGCTATGGACCCCCGTGTTGCAGGAGGGCCAAGGTCAGATCTTTCCAGCCCTGTGCCATTGTAGTTGACCAAAGGACTTTCAAAGCTGGCGATTAGGGAATACATATCATACAGAAGGAGGTAGCAGGCAGAGGGCAGAACTAGCTATTACAGGAGACGTGAAGTGGGTTCATATCTCTCTTTCCTTCTCTGCCGTATAATGTCTAATTTAATTTAATAACATTATATGCTTCAATCTCTCATTGTTGGCTGGGGCAGGCAAATAACATTGTATTAAAACAGATTTTATAAGAAAGAGGGTGGGGGGGAGCAGGGTGGTGGTAGCTCAACTGCTCCTTTACAACTCTAGCTTTGCCCTGAGACTTAACTGGCTGCCTGCTCCCCATATGTGGATTTGCAAGAATAAAAACTGCAAGTAGAAAATAGAACAAGAGCAGAAATACCTTGCCAAAACCAAAACTCACACAGTGCTAGATTTACTTTCTATTTCTTACAGATGCAGTCTCAGCCCTACATTATTCTCTCCCCTTTAAAACCCATCCCTTTTACATTTTTGGAAGGGGGGGTGTTAAATTGTAACAGTGAAAGCTTAATCAAGTGTTTTTGGGAAATGGAAGTACTGCATCGTGTTCACAGTGATGTTGCATTCAATGCTGAACTTGGGTGCAGGGATCCTTTTAAAACACTTTATATCAAAAGATTTTCTTCAATAAACCATTTTTTTAAAAGGGGAAATAACCTTATTTCCCAAATTACAGGAAGAATATAAAGTTTTGCTGAGCTTAGATCCTGATCATGTTCCTTTTGGTGAAAGTATTTATATGTTTATAATTATTTTTGTTTTGTTACCATCAGTGCATGGACAGTGTAAATCTGTTCCAAGTGACTCCAGTATAAGCCTACTGAAATCAAAGAACTTAGAGTGCAGTTACTCCCAATATGATTGCCCAGTAAATGAATTGCTGAGAGCACTTGTACTAATGGTAAAGCGACACTGGCAAGTCCCACTCCTGCATCAAATTCTACATATGTCAGATTCCCATCTTCTTTATGATGCTCCTGATTAGACATAGGTTTTATGTCATCCATTTTGTAATATGTTCTGGATGACTGAACATCATTAGGAGCTGGTTGTCTTTGCTAATTGTAGCTTCCATACAATTGTTATGCATCTATGGTTTTCCCTGATCCTATCAACATTGCCTGCATTCTGACATCACAATAAATAGTAGCTTGTAAGACCATTGGTTGATTGAACTCCAGTTCAGTATGATGTCTAGCTATAGGCTGCTCAACAAGTTTTGTTTGTTGGTTTGTACTAAACTGAGACTCTAAGCCATGGTTTGCATTATTCATTTATTTTATAAAATTTATATCCCACCTTTCTGCTCTTGTAAGGGCCAACCAAGGTACCTGAAAAATTAAAAACATAATAAAGTCACATCTTTAAAACCAACCAAAAACATAATGAAAACCAGATCTAAAATAACCTAAAAAACTTAAGTGCATAAACATACAACAAAAACATAAAAACACTGCACTACACTAATTGCACTTTGCCATGATGGGAATTCTCATTTGTTCAGTAGCACTTCTCTTCTAAGCCACCAGCATACAGAGATGGAAGTGTAAACCAACTGAAAACTTTGCACCTTCTGTTGCATTCTTCAGCTATCAATGGTGCTTTCTCAGGACGCTTCCTCTTTCCTACCCTCTGCCCTAGCCCCCCCCCCCTCAGTGATGACTTGCCAAGTGGGAATGCTAATCATAGACTTCAGTCCCTCCTGAGCAGAAATTCCATCCTGAGGCAGATGGGCTGACAACCAGCAACAGAAAAAGAGGAGGAAGAGCTGTAAAAGACGTCTTACATGAACTCCATGAAGCAGCTAGGGAAGAAGACTGACTATTCTTAGGAAGAAAAGGGGGCTTGGTTTGTGATAGGTTTCTTCCGCAGCCCCAAATTCCCTCCAACTTACTGCAGCTGACCAGTAGCAAACTGGCTGCATAGCTATAGAGACCTTGCTAGATATCTGATAATGCAAGGGAGCTTGGGATAGCATCTGGGGATTCTGGTCGGTGGTGGAAGAATAGAGGGAAGCAGCAGATCAGCTTGGATCTACAAGCCAGCTGTGGCTGGTTGTGCACAACTGGTAGACTAACCAGGGTTTGCACACCACGTGGATTTAAACAAACCACAGCATATTGTGATGTTGGAGTGCAGGCTCCATCAATGTAATGTAGGGTTGCCAGGTCCAACTAGGGTTCCAAATCCCCCCGGGGGGCGGATTTCCCCCCGCTTTCAAGGCCCGACTTCCGCCCTGCGCGGAATCGGGCCCGAGGGAAACCCCACCCCCCCGCACGTGCGTCACCCGGAAGTGACGTCGCACGCTGGGGGCGGGGCCATGCCCCCAGCGTGCGACGTCACTTCCGGGTGACGCGCACACGAGTTGGACGCCGGCTGGGAGCCCCCCGCTCCCGGCCAAAATTCATTTGGCAACCCTAGGTCCAACCTGGCTGCTGGTGGGGGGGATCCAGCCTCTGCTCCAGCCAGCGTCTCAGACATGATGATGTCACCCGGAAGTGATGTCAAAACATCAGGGGCATGAGGGCTGACGTTCTAGTTTTTGGGCAAAACTCTATAGTTTTTTGCCCTCAAAACCATAGAGTTTGCCCCAAAATTTAGAAGTGATGTCATCACATCTGGGATGTGCAACATCCCTGTTTGGAGGTGGGGCTTCCCCCAGAGCCCCCCAAAGCAGGGGAACCCCTGCTTCGAACTGGGGGATGGCAACCCTAATGTAATGTGGATTGTTTGCTATGTATATACATCTGATCATATTAAGTCCTGTCTGACTTAATATTTCCATAACCAAAGATTCTCAAGAATTTTTTTTTCTGTTCAGGAAACTGAACATTCTCCTATACCAGCATTTCCCCCAAAGAATGCAAATTTTTGCAGAAGTTATTTTTGGAATGGAATGTTTCCATGCCTCTGGCTTAATTCATTATGTATTCTGTATTTAGTGATAGCAAATTAAGAGTTTAATGCTGTGGTTTGGAAAGATGTAGCAAAGCTTTTAGCAAGAATGAAAAGAGGTTTGCCTTAGGGCAACCTCTGTGAGATCGCCAAGCTTGGAAGGCATAATGGTCCACTTGTTCTTACAGCTGGAATGTCCTGTCACAAACTAAACTCACTGTGAGCAGATTGCCTCTTTATCCAGCACTGGTGCTGTTCTCTTGGGTTTTTGTTGCTTCAATCAGTGAATGATTCCAATGTCCAAATCAAAGATGTTGTTTCATGTCTGAAAATTACCTGTGTTGGTTTTTGTGACTTTACACTATAGACACAAATAGAGGAATCTTTCTGAAGTCTATTCAGTGAGGTTTAGGATACTGTTCTTAGGATGGCACTGTGGGATTTTGTTAAGTGGGCAGTTCAGATTTCAATCTGGGTATGTTCTGAAACAATGTGGGCTCTAGCTTGCAATCTGCTCACAATTAATTTGTTAATCTTTGGGGGCCAAACCACACAAGATGTTGGGAGTTCTGTTTACAGAATTCCCAGCTGTTTTTTTCCTTATATAATTGCTATGCAGGATACCTATCTGGGTTATGGCATGGGGGGTGAGTTTATGCCCCCCCCTTTGCCTCAAAATATCATTTTCCTGACCCGCAATGACCCCACAGGGCTGGAACCCATTATGGTCTAACTAATATAACTTTAAAAGCATATAGAGTTATACTCATGGTTCAGTTCTTTGGATTTTTTTTGTTTGTTTCCAACTGAATGAATGCTTTTATATAATCTGGTTCAAGAAATTCCACATTTAGCTGTATAGTTCTGCCAGTAACAACTGCGTCAATAAATATTTTTTTCATGTGTTTAACATGTGGGCCGGCTGCCCATCTGGACTCCCCAAATATCCAGCTGCAAATAATTCACAGATTCACCTGGAGTATAGATTAAGGACTTGTTGTTCTTTCTGATCAGAGCCAGATATTTATCACAAAAAGTGAGATATGGCAATTGTTTAATATTTTAGATTCTGGATCTTAGTGCAATTGCTACTTTGTATACAGCTATAGGGACAGCGTAAAAATTCTGCATCAGAATTGTCGGGTTTTGGCAAGGAGGTCCTTGATAAAGTTTTGATAAAAACACAACTGGCC